ATTGCTTGAACTTTTCTCAACTTCAGGCTTCAGGAGGACCTTGATGAGCATTTTCTTTTTATTGGGTAAGTCTTTGTGATTGTGTGGAAACTTTAAACAGCAGTTTTTTCCCCAAATAAATGCTTTTCTATACCTTTTTATATTGCTTTTAGTTTTAAAAATGTACTGTTCTCTGGGCAGTTTAAAAAGAACTGATTTGTTCCGATGTCTGGAGTGTTTGATCTGATGTTTTTATTTTTTTGTTCACATCAAATTTTAGGGTTTTATTTACTAAACTCTCCACAAAATGGTTGAACTACAATTTTATTTAGGGTTATTTCAATAGATGGATAAAATGGGGGTGATTTTATACTCTAAACTAGAAACAATAATGAAATCTGGGTTATTTTTGAATACGTTTTATATGAAGAGTCTTGTCTAAAACCGTTGTTATAAACCAGATTCAGGTGTGTAATCCAGAAGCACAATATGTTTACTGCTCAAAGCAGATAGATTTTAATGTTGATTTTTTTGTATGTCATGAGAATTTTCGAATTCTTCCAAAGAACAACTAGAAAATCTTAAACCAAAATGTTTAAACCACAGTTTCTTTATTTTTTGCACCCTTATAACGTCTTTTAACCTATAACTAAACATTAAATTATAAGACTCTCGAGATTTAGTTCAATGTAACTTTTATAGTTAAATCTACGGTTTTCTTAACTTTAAGACATTTGTTTTTAGGATTGTGTTCATGCCTTCGTCACTACATCCTTGTTAATGAGCCGATGAGTTGGTCTGATGCTCAAAAATACTGCCAAGAAAACTACGCTGACCTGGCCACAGTGGACAACATGGAGGACGTGAGTCAGCTGATTGCAGCTGCTGGCAGCTTCAGTGGATCAGTGTGGATCGGTCTGTATGACCAGTCGCAGAGCTGGGAGTGGTCAGCACCCGGTGGTTTTGAACAGGCAAGCGACACTATTGAGTGGAGCTTCAAGCCAGTTTATTCCAGGAATCAGTGGGAGTTATGTGGCGCTCAGATTAAAGGTGTCTATTACGAATATTACTGCAATGTCTCACAGCCATTTGTGTGCTATAGCGCAAGTCAAGGTGGTGAGTAAAGGGTTACCTATTTTACTTCCTATTAATAAAGAAAAGCAACTTTATATTGATTAATACAAATAGTCTATTGGTAAATGTTCTGTCCATCCAAACATCCACTAGTCACCTTTACCCACTTCTTCCTTTTCGGGTCGCTGGTGCCTTTATCTAGCCAAACCAGCCAGTAATGAGCACAAGTCAGTGTTTCTCTTGTGCCGGTCCCAAGCCTGGGTAAATGGTGAGGGTTGTGTCAGGAAGGGCATCTGGCATAAAACACTTTTGCCAAAACTATAATGTGCGTTCATCAAAGTGAAACCATACCGGATCGGTCGAGGCTCGGGTTAACAATGACCACCACCGATACTGTTGACAAACAGGGTGCCAGCGGAAATTGTGCTATTGTTAGTCAAAGACCACGAGAAGGGAAACGTGTCAGGAGACAGAGGGAGAAGAGGAAAGCGAAGAATGTAGGACTGAGGGTTGCAACTCTAAATGTGGGGACAATGACAGGCAAAGGTAGAGAGCTGGCTGACATGATGCAGAGAAGGAAGGTAAATTTTATGCATGTCCAAGAGACCAAGTGGAAGGGCAGCAAGGCTCACAGCATTGGAGCAGGGTTTAAACTGTTTTACCATGGTGTGGATAGAAAGAGAAATGGAGTAGGGGTGGTCCTGAAGGAGGAGTTAGCTAAGAATGTTGTAGAGGTGAAGAGAGTGTCAGATAGGATGATGTCCCTGAAGGTAGAAGTAGAAGGTCTGATGCTAAATATTGTCAGTATTATGCTCCACAGGTTGGATGTGATGTGGAGGAGAAAGATACATTTTGGAAGGATCTGGATGAAGTGACAGAGAGCACTACCGGGGAGGAGAGAGTGGTGATTGGAGCACAAGTGAATGGCCATGTTGGTGAAGGAAACAGAGGGGATGAGGAAGTGATGGGTAGGTTTGCTGTCAAGGAAGGAAACTAGGAAGGACAGATGGTGGTGGATTTTTCCAAGAGAATGGAAATGGCTGTAGTCAACACCAATTTCCGAAAGAGGGAGAACAAAAAGTGACCTATAAGTGGAAGAAGGTTTACGTAGGTTGACTACATTCTGTGTAGAAGAGGAAACCTGAGGGAGATTGGGGACTGTAAGATTGTGGATTGTGTGGCCAGACAGCATCAGATGGTTACGTGTAGAATGACTGCTGTTGTGAAAAAGAGATAAAGAGTAAAATCAGAGAAGAAGACCAAATGATGGAAGATGAAGAAGGAAGAATGTTGTAAGAAATTCAGAGGAGCTGTTAAAGGTTCTGGGTGGTAAGAAAGAGCTTCCAAATGACTGGGCTGCTACAGCAACAGTAATTAGAGAGACAGGTAGGAAGGTACATGGTGTGTAATCTGGACAGAGAATGGAGGATAAGGAAACCTGGTGGTGGAATATTTACCTGCAGGATCCCGTTCAAAGAAAGAGGTTAGCCAAAAAGAAATATGACAGTGGGAGGATGGAAGAGAAGAGACAAAAACATAAGGAGATTGTCAGAAAGTCAGGGTTTCAAATTCAGAGTATAGCCAGACAACAAGAGTGTAACACCCCCCCCCCCCCCCCCCCCCCAAATCTTTATTGAGTTGCAGCTGCTGGGGGAAGTCAGGGTCCAGCTGCGGTGACAGGTCCTCACAGGCAATAGGGAGAGAGTTGCCTGTCAAAGTCTGCAAAGATGATGTCACCAGCAGTGGAGCAGAGCAGCTGCAGAGGAGTGCTGCAATAACGTGGTTTCTGGGAGCATATCCGAGAGCGGGGTCCGAGAAACAAAGCAGGGTCAGGAACAGTGGGTCAGAGTTCCAATAATAATCTAAAGAGGGTGATCCATGAGCTGTGGTCATAGAGACAGAAGAAGAGGTTGTTACAGAGGATGTGATCATGGCATGAAGATGCAGAGACGTGAACAGAGGGGGGGGGGGGGCAAGCATAGTCCGCTGATAATGACAGAGATGCAATGTAGAGAAAAGAGGGAGTTCGCAAAAGCAAAGCAGAAGGCGTATGATGAGTTGTATGTGTGGCTGGACACTAAAGAGGGCGAGAAAGTCTTGTACCAATTGGCAAGACAGAGAGATCAGGTTGGACAGAATGTGCAGCAGGTTAGGCTTGTTAAAGATGGGAATGGTAACGTTCTAACGAGTGAGGAGACTGTGACTGGAAAATGGAAGGAGTACTTTAAGGAGCTAATGAATGAAGAGAATGAAAGAGAAAGAAGAGTAGAGGTCATAGAAACTGTGGACCACGAAGTGGAAAAGATTAGTGACGGTGAAGTCTGGAAAGCTCTGAAAAGAATGAAGAAGGGGAAAGCAGAAGGACCTGATGACATACGTACCAGTGAAGGTTTGAAAATGTCTTAGAGAGATGGCAGTGAGATTTTTGAATCAAATACTCAATGGCATATTTGAGAGTGAGAAAATGCCTGTGGAATGGAGAAGTGTGCTTGTGCCCATTTTTAAGAACAAAGGTGATCTACAGAGTTGTAGCATCTACAGGGGAATTAAGTTGATGAGCCACACGAAAATCTGGGAGAGAGTTGTGGAAGCAAGACTTAGATAAGAGGTGACTTTTTGTGAGCATCAGTATGGTTTTATGACTAGAAAGAGCACCAGATATGCCATCTTTGCATTGAGAATGCTGATGGGGAAGTACAGAGAAGGTCAGAAAGAACTCCAGTTTGTCTTTGTGGATTTAGAACATGCATGTGACAGGGTTTCGAGGGAGGAGGTGTGGTATTGCATGAGGAAATCTGGAGTGGCAAAGAAGTATGTTAGACTGGCACAGGAGATGTATAAGCAGGGATGAAAGTAAGCCGGTACGGCGTACCACTAAAAGAATATGTGCTGGTACGCAGTATCTGGAAGAGATGGGAGCGACTGTCTGCTGTAAAGCCGTCATTCAGAACCAGTCACGGTTGCACTTTGGGTCCAAATAGATTCACTAGCAATAAGCAGTCTAAAACACGACTTAGTCTGTTAATAAATAGCTGTTTTTCTGATTTCAAATTGTTTCTGAACTGATTGTGCTATGCTGGAGCCTCAATTCTCTAGCTTCTCTCCCATTGGAGCACGAGGCTTTCGTCAACGGCCAGCCTTTAAAATGTTCACCACTACATTTATTGTCTGTCTGCTTGTTACAAAATATCCCAATTAAAAGCAAAGAGAGATTAATCGTGTTTCATATTATTCTGCTCAATTTCAACAACACAACACAGCTTGAAAACACTGCTTATGACCGGAGATTTAATTTATGCTACACGCGAGCACATGTGCATTTACCTCCAAAACACAGTGGTTGCCAAGGGGATTGGTGCATTCGATTTAATGAACTGGGTCGTTTTACATATGTGGTGCACAGACGTTAAAACCTCCACTTGCATTTGGGACAGGACAAACAATACATCATCTATAGACCTTAAAATAAAAACTCAAAATTGATTAATTGAGTACAAGGCAAGTGGAGGAAGAAGCCTTCCTAATAAGATGAAGAAATTGCTTGTGGCAGTGGATACATTGTCAGCAAGTAAAACAGACTGTGAGAGTGGGTTCAGAACCATGAACAATATCATCACTGAGATACACTGAAGAGGACAAGTACTTCTCTGTGGAAAATCTTTTAAGTGTTATGTTTTGACAGTGATGAGACCAGCTATGTTGTATGGTCTGGAGACAGTGGCATTGACAAAAAGACAAGAGAAAGAACTGGAAGTGGCTGAAATGAAGATGTTGAGGTTCTTCTTAGGAGTGGCAAGGATGGAGAAGATTAGGAATGAGATCATCAGAGGTACAGCACAGGTTGAACAACTGGGAGATAAAGTTAGAGAGACCAGACTGAGATGGTTTGGACATGTCCAGAGGAGGGAGAGTAGGTATATTGGTAGAAGGATGTTAGAAATGCAGCTGCCTGGAAAAAGACAAAGAAAAGGTCAAAAAGGAGATATATGGATGCAGTTAGAGAGGATATGGAGGTAGATGGAGAGAGGACATAGGATGCAGAGGACAGAGTGAGGAAGAAGGATGACTCGCTGTGGCAAACACTGAAGAGGGAAAAGCCGAAAGAAGAAGAAAGAAGAAGGTGCCTATGTCTAGTCGTCAAAGTGTGAGAGGCGGGATACACCCTGGACAGGTCTCCAGTCCATCACAGGGCCACATAGAGACAAACGAGACCAACAACCATTCACTCTCTCACTCACACCTAGGGACAATTTAGAGTTACCAATTTAAATATTTGTAGTTTCCATTTCATCAACTCATTTATCATATGTTGAATTGTGAAAATTAAGAAGTATTTTTTTTAGATGTGTGTTTTTGTGCAAATAATACTTGAACATGTTTTTTTTCCCCAGTTCATTCTACTAAGACATATGTCTTCGTAAATGAATCAAAGACGTGGTTTGAGGCACAGACCTACTGCAGGCAGCAGTACACAGACCTGGCAAACGTGTTGACACTAACTGACAATGAAATGGTTACAAAAGTGACACCAGCTACGACCACAGCTTTTACCGGCTTGTACAGATCCACCTGGAAGTGGTGGTCTGATGGCACTATCCACGTTATTGATCACTGGGCACAAGGACGCCCACAAAGCAGAACTGGAGAC